TATCTCGAACTATTTGGAGACGCTGTAGTTAAATTCTTACCCATTGGTTATATGTAATATCTTTACTTCTCACTCTCTTGAAATGAATTTCAATTACTAAATATCAGATCCTACCGAGATCTTAGGTGAATTGCTTCAAGTAGTTCCATGTATATCTGTCGTTGATAGTTCTCTCCTCTACTCCATATCACTTCTTCCATGTTAAATGCATATCTAACATTTATTTACCCGTTATTCAAAGTGATTCACGACCATTTTCTGTGGTTCGTTTTATGAGAATAGTCTCATTTTGATTCGTTTCGAATCCTTTAAATGGTTATCTTAAAATGAATATCAGTTATCAATCTATATAATCCGGTAAATAAAGTGCATATGACTCTGAAACCGAATGTTAATATTCATTGAATATTGGACCAGTGTGAGATCGGAGTATTTAGATATTTTATTTATTCACAGTCATCATATATTCTCTAAAATAACCGCAAGTACTTTGTGTTTATACATTTTTATTCAGACTTTAATGTTATCAACTGTTTTCGTGATATATTATTGGATTCTCATTTGGACGCGAATTCCTTGTATTCTATTCGAGTTGTACTTAGTGCTATTGAAGCTGCGATTCATAACAGTAAAAAAGTGAGTCCCATTTCATTGTTTCAATTCTCACTTTAATACACTACATTAACAATTAAGTTCAAACTGCGTACACGTTTCAGAAACTCAGACGGTCGTAACTCTCCCCTCATCGATCCGTTCTCGAAACGCTAATCGTTTTTTCATCGCTTTCTGCCTGGTGTGTGTATATTACCTGCTAAAAATTCGAACTCTAATTTCCATACAGTTGTCAATTATTTACATTATTACCTATACGAATTAAGAATTCATGCGCTTTAGAAAAAGTATTCAACGTTGCATTATGTGCTTTTCTAAATATTGAAATGTGATACACTCAAAGCATGCTTAGTAAATTTATTAGACTTCTTGTTATGAAGTTTGTCAAATTATTTTTTATACTTATATTGTATTAACGAACTTTAACTAGTGTACTTGTATAGTGGTGACTCAGTAATTAAGGTGCTCACCTCCCAGCCTTTAGGTCACAAGTTTGGACCCAGCCATCTCGCCTATCTAATTTGAATAAGGCAAGTTTACTGATAGCATCAGTTTATATACAAAAAAAAACTATGAAAACCTGTAAATTTTAAATTATTTGTAGATAGTCCATACTCTAGCTCTATTTTGTTGTTCCACCATTTGAAACATAAATTCTAAGTCCCTTAAAATCATCCGAATTTTCTTAAGCTTACAACAAGTGGAACTCTTTCGCTTTATTATTATAAAGTTGATGTTTATAACTGAATAATAATATCCAAGATTATCTACAATATTGATGTATATCAGAAGGAATTCGCCCACAAAATATATATGTAACTCGACTTTTCAGTAGCAAATCGAATTCGGAAAACTCCGAGTTCAGACAATAATAAATAATTAGATGACAGCAAATTTTTATAGATCCATTTTGAATAGAATTCGATTACAAATACTGTTTCATATTTCAGAATATATTTAGCATAATCTGAGAGGCAGGTTTTTAGAAAGTTACTTACCTTACAACCATATTTTATTGTCCAGAACGCATATTTAGTAATAATATAGGTGAGACTATAATTAGAATTAAGATTTGCTGTTGATGGTTGAGGGTTAGGAATTAGATATATGGTTTTCATCATGAACTGACATCAGTTAAAATGCCGAAAACGCTCTTTAAACAAATGGATGAATGAATTTCGCGCCAGAATCCAAGACCTTTTATCTTATATCTGATTGGTTCGTCCATAAATTATAGTCTCGCCTCAATATATTCTGACGTATTTTTACCAGAGTATAAACCATTTCGCCGCTGATCAAAACTAACTTCAAATTAATTTACCAAAAATAGACTTAGCGCATAAAGGTACCAAATGGACACCAGCTGGACTTGAAAGTTAAACACGTCATAAACTAAGACAACTGTTTGTTTATTGATTCACCACACTACATTTTCATATCAAGGACACGAAAATAAACCCACAAGACTAAAAAGAAAGAAATGCATATGATAGCTACGGGTAGTTGTTGCAACTGGGAATAACTTGTAATGTTTGGTACCGGAAATCACTGCAATTTCCGAAAACTGATTGCAGCTGAAGATCTGTTTCATTCTACAAAATGTATGTCAAATAAATCCCCAACTAAAATCTCTATGTTCTTACTTGGGTCATGAGATTCACAGGTTCAAATAACCAGTCCCAATTATCCACTGTTACAGCAACTATCGACGTATTTTGGTGAGTGAAATAGAATTTCATCTTCAATCGGTTTCGATGTTCTTATATGAGCCATATAAACTGGAATGCTCTCCAGTATTAATTATTACAAGTTTCTCTCAGTTGTAACAGTAATAAGGTACTTTTCGGGGGGATAATTTCTTGTATACATTTATCTCAAATGTTATATACAAATTTTACAATCTACATATAAAATACCTTTATGTTACAGATTCGTGTATTTATGAAATCTAATTCTTGTTTACGCCATTTGACAAATTTTTGGGAATCATATCAAGTCAGAATTGAATTTTTATCAGTTCTTCCAAGAGTTAAGTCCTTAATAATAAAATTACAAGGATAATTATTCACCTTTTGTAAATCATAATTACCTGTGAAAATAGGTAGAATGTGTATATAATATAACCAGAACATTGGATAAAATGTGAAATCTTGGTTTTTTTATTTAATCGTTGTATAAATTTTCCTAAAATAAACTTTCATAGTTAATCATCAAGCTATTTGTTTATTTCTCAATGTTTTGAGTATTATTTAGTTAAATCAGTCAGTTTTCATCAGCATAAAATCTGACACAAATGTGCATCAGCCCAAGAAGCCGTAGCATATCAACACGGGGAGATAAAATTAATAAGATGAATGATAATTCTGGAAAAATATATCAATACCGATCATACAGAGAAAGAGTAAACATTGGAGGTCACTATTCGAAGGATAAGAATGAATTTGAGGAATAATAGTAATAAAACTGAAAACGTAGCGGAAGATAGAGTCTAAATGCATCTGAGTCATTGTGGCTGATTCCGAACTGAACGTCTCCAATTACTGATGACGGTTATCAACTAGAATTTACTCAAAACGTCTGAGTTTACTAACAAACCTCAGTCAAATTATCACAGTAACATCATGGATTGATACCATGCCTTGATTTAGTCGCCCCAAATTTTCTTCCAACCCATTCGTACGCCCGATGGTATGGTGGGCGGTTAGATTTTTTGAGATAGCTCATTAGTACTCAAAAAAGACTATTTACCGAACCAATAATCGAAAAGATGTTGGATACCAGGAGCCTGAGAATGCGATGAAGCGGCTTCAAACACACCGTATTTCTTGAACTAATACTGATTTGTTACCGAAACTGGCACCATGTAAACTTAATATCAACAACTTAAAATTTATTTCCTCAGTTCAAACTGTCATACATTTCAAATTAATGTAGATTTCGACTTTACATTCTGGTTGAACACGTCCTTATGTTTATGATCAAGAATTTTCAAGAATACTTTAGAAATTCAGAATCTTAACAAGCTTACCATAAATACTGAAGTGTTTGTTTTCTTCCACTCTCACACCATTAAAAACTATATAGGTACCAGCGCATTTAAGTGTGAAGTTAGGAAATTCTTAGTCGTATATAATTAATGACAATATATAACAAATCAGTCGCTTTAGAAACAATTACCTGACTGCTGAATTAGTAGACGAAATTCATTAAAATCCAAGCCGAATATATTTTGTTTACGGACTTATAGTTGTCCTAGGTGGATTTTAAATAAAAATAGATATAGACAAAATTTCCTTTCACCATACTACCGCCAATTATTTCACGTGTTTTTGGGTCTATTATAATATTCCCCCTTTCTGTGTATCTTGAACTACCTGATGCTGAATTGTTCTCCCTAAATTTGTGGTCATCATAATCACATGGGACATGAGAAATTTATTTTGGAGAATAACAAATAACTTTATTTTCCGGTCTACAATTAGACATTTTGAGATCAAAGTATAAGAACATGATATCTCCGTCTTTTTGTCCGTTGAAAAGCTCTTCTTACACAACATCGATAATTGATTCGAAAAACTAATATGTTATCCTCCAAAATTTTTACATAATGCACTGAAGTCAAACGCGTTTACATCATAGAGAGAATATTAATTTTATCACTGCAACAGTATTCTCGCTTTAATCTATGTTTTTAATAAAACAAAGTACGAATAAAAACGTGGATCTAATTTAAACTACTGACTGTAGTTGAGTTATTCAGCTCAGTTTAACCACCTCTGATGCTCCATTACTGCTCACTGAAGTTTGTAGCGTGTGTTACTTGTGGAGTACTGTGGCGTTTATAGAAATACTAGTAAATAACCCAATAGTGAGCTGTAACTGTATTTTGTGGACAAATATCCTACCATGTCGCGCACAACAGGGTAGTATCTGTTTAATAGAGACAGAATATCTTGATTCTAATCTTCTTACCCGATACAGATAACTTACATCAATTATATTTTGTCTGTCATTTTCCCAAAATCGAGTAAATGTCGATTTGTTTCTGTCTGACAAATCCTGCTAAATACAACTATTATTGAAGAACATCCTGTTTTATAATGGTAACTTTTAAGAAATTTTATACATTGATTAGACAAACACAAATGTTTTTAAGTGAATGTACAAAACAACATTTGAAATTGATTCATATGTAGTCAAAACTTACTTTGACTTGAACCAATACATGTATCTTGACAATAGCACACAGTTAAATTATCCAGAATATTTGGAAAAGAATAATAATTGAAAGCATGAAAATAACGTACAATAATTAGTAAGCATAACGGAAGAAATAATTATAGTATACCTTTAAATCAGTTGGTAAAATAAGAAATAAACAGTAAATATTATACTCGTAAAATTTCTAACGAATTATTATAACAAATGGCTATCCAATCTGGTTGTGTTGATGACCATTGGATTTGATTAATTTCACCGGCAGCTGTATATGCTAGAATAGGATCTTCTATTGCTCTTGGCATAGACTGAATATCCCAGATAAGAGCTTGACAATCTTCAGATGCTGTACATAAATGACAACTTGAATGTGGTGCCCATGCTAATCCATTTACAAATGCTCTGTGATTATTTAGACGAGCTACTGGAGTGCATGGTACACGTAAATCCAAAATAATTATCTGCAGTTGTAAAACAATATAAATCCAAAAAGAACATCAGTATACTGAAAGATAGGTAAGCATATTATGCAAAACAAAGAGGCTGAGATCTTTTCAGTAATCGTTAAATCGAAATAGCTACTAAATTAGAGTAAACTAAAGAGAGTAACCAATTGATTACAAAACAAGTATGCCTTTTTATATGTTGATAACACTTCTCATCTATCGAAATATATAAATGATATTACGATAACTGAATTCTGCTTTAAGTCTCTATGGTATATATTCAAAAGCTTTATCAAAGGTAGTATTCCCACATTTGGGACAGATTGTAACTTAACACTTTGTATATGAATCTGCACCTAAATAAGAGTGGGTTAAATTGAAATTTGTATATTATACTACTTTAAAACTAACTGTAAGCCCATTTTTATTCTGTGGTCGCATTTTTGTATAAAGTGACCGTCGAAATAAATTGAAAGAGATCAAAACATATATATGTTGGACGGAATTATTATCATTTCACTTCACATGAGAGGGTGGGATTTAATACAATAACCTTAACTTCACCTACAAGTTATGGTATAGAGTTGTGCAAACAGACGGTAAAAACATGATTGCAATTGTGAAGAATTGAATTCGCGCGAACCATCGTTCCTGAATCGATTACCGTGTAGTGACCTACTTTTGTCAACAGAACGCGATTGGTTCAATGAAAACAATTATTATTATAACCAATTGTACCAGCGACTGTTTTACTGTGCTCGTTTGTTTAACTGTGCTAATGACAGCCATTACACTTACTCTCCCGTTGACTTTGAACTTGTACGAATTCGGTTACGCTCAGTAGCCACGCTTGTACTCCTTTGGCACGATCTCGGTATTCTTTCGATACCACGAGATCGCCAACAAATACATCTCGACTACAGCCATCATCTGTCTTCTGATATTGGCCTACGGGGATCTTATTGGTTAATTGGCACGTAGTCTTGTAGCGGTGTTCATAGTCAAGCTCAACTCGACACCACGCTACAATTGGTGAGTAAAATCTGGGAACACCTCTCAACCTCGGTCAAATCTTCCAAAGAAGGCAATTCGGTGAGTCTATTGCTTTATCTATCCACGTCTGTCGTATATTTTCATATTAATTTTTTTTCCCCCAAATGCCCTGGTATGGCCGAGAGCGGGGAGGGTTCGCCCTCCCTCTCGAAATACTCTCACACGGCCACGCGTATACAGCCTCTGCCAGGGAAGTCCTACTCACTGCCTTCTCACACCACGGGTGTTGCTTACGAAAATGAGAGGACGAAAAGCGAATGTCCGGCGCTATAACCGGATCCCAAACCAATGGTGCACATGGGCTCCCGTATCCTGCGGGAACAAATGGCGTATGAACCAACTTTTGGTCACCGGCTTCCATGGGGCTGCATCTCCTCACGATGCTCCACTGCCTTGTGGACTAGACCCTTAGATCAAAGGCTCGGGGTGTGGCCCCCTAAGAAAACCACCTGCTTCGGTTTGGTCACCCGGGCAGTATCTCAGCCCACGCACTAAAACCATGATGAACTATTTGCTTATGGAAAATATTCCTTTCTATCTGATTAACATTGAAATAACTCGTACTATTATTATTATTACTATTATTATTATTATTACTCTACCACGTCATTTATTTACCCTCTCTTATTCCTACTTTATGTATCCGTATCGACCTAGACAGCAGCTCGCCTATGGTGAAAATTCAGCTTTATCTAAACGTTCTCGAGTCACTGCGTGGTTGAAAATTGTATGTTGCCACCGAACAAGAGTACTGAAGCAGTTTTTCTGAAACCACGTAAACCATTCAAACTGGTTGCCTTCAATGTTCGCACACTTATGCAGGTCGGACAACAGATAGGGCTGGCTATGTCTTTGGAAAGTCTTAATATTGATGTGTGTTGTCTATCCGAGACCCGTATTCAAGACTCTGGTGAAGTACTACAAGTTCGCTCTCCATCTGTCGCTTCAAAAAGCTTGTTTTACGTGCGTTTATCCGGGGACCCTGTGGCATCTTCGTATGGTCTTGCTGGCGTTGGTGTCGCACTAAGCGCAAGAGCTGAGGCAGCACTAGTCGACTGGATCCGCATTAACAGTCGGTTATGTGCTGTTAGATTAGAAAGTTCCATCAAAGTGAGAAGAAATCGGCGTGAGAAACGATGTCTTTTCGTCGTCTCCGCCTATGCCCCGACAGATTGCAGCCTGGATACAATCAAGGATGAGTTCTACCACCAGCTAACTGTTCTTCTCCAGAAAGTGCGCTCGACAGATATTGTAGTACTAGCTGGAGACTTGAATGCTCAGGTCGGACGTCTAGGCACAGAAGAGAGTCGTTTAGGTGGCCGATGGGGACTCGTTGGTCGCAGGACAGATAACGGGGAACGTCTACTGCAACTATGCACAGACCACAACCTGTTTCTGGCTAGCATTAACTTTCGGCACAGTCATCGCCGATGTGCCACCTGGCGTCCCCCTTCTACATCTCAAGCCTGGATACAGATTGATCACACCACGATCAGCTATCGCTGACGTGGTTGTGTACAAGACTGCCGCTCCTTTTGGAGTACCTATCTGGAATCTGACCATGCTCTGGTCTGCACAACGAAGTGACCGCCACCAAAGGATTGATGTTAGCAAGCTGGCTGTAACTTCTGTTGCTAGTAAGTACCGAACCGAGCTAGCTTCTAGGCTAGCTACCATTCCACCGAAAAGTATAGATGAGCATTGGTTGCAATTGCATGACGCCATCAAAATGGCGGGTCAAGTCTGTTGTGGGTTCGCGAAACGTCCCGCTTACAAGCACTGGGTTTCTTCTGGTCCCTTACAACTGATTGAAGCCCGTCGGTCTACTCCGGGTGACCGTGAGTTTGACCACAGACGAAGGATGTTACGTAATGAAAACGGGCAAAGCTTGCGTAAGGACCGTGAAGCCTGGTGGTCGGAGCGTGCTAATGAGCTGGAAGCAGCAGCTGCATCTGGTAACTACCGGAATCTCTTCCAACTCATCCGAGCCACTGGCAGCAAGAAGTCTGGTGTGAGCGAAACAACCTGCGAAGATGACGGAACGCCAATCACTAACATCCATCGACGTCTTGGACGATGGGCAGAATTTTTCGAAGGGCAGTTCAGTTCAACTGGCCTGCTGCTCCGGCAACATCGGTCAGACTGTCCTGCCCTCCATGGCCGGTGACGACTGATCCACCAAATGAGGCGGAAGTCCGCGAGGAACTCCAACTCTTGAAACGTTACAAATCATCGGGCCCAGACGACTTACCTCCGGCTCTTTTTAAAGATGGTGGTGACTTTCTGACTAAGGGACTGACGACGTTGTTTACAAAGGTCTGGGAACTAGAGAGTGTACCAACGTCATGGAATGAGTCGATAGTTGTCCCTATCTTTAAAAAGGGTTCACGTCGTTCCTGTAACAACTATCGGGGGATAAGTCTACTTCCGATTGCGTCCAAGCTATTGGTTTCCGTTATACTTCGTAGGTTGTTCAAAACCCGAGAAGGATTGACTTGTGAGGAGCAGTCTGGGTTTCGTTCTGGTCGAGGATGTATTGATCATATCTTTACCCTCCGCCAAGTGTTAGAACACCGCTATACTTATCAAAGGCCAACAATCGTAATGTTCCTTCATATCAGGGCTGCCTTCGATTCGTTGGACAGGACTGTTCTCTGGGAGTGTCTATTGAAGAAGAATGTGTCTGAGAAGTTTATTAACATCCTAAAAGCCCTATACACAAACACCTCAGGCAGAGTGAGGGCATACAACCACCTTTCTCCATTGTTCCATTCAAGCAGTGGGTTTAGGCAGGGTTGCCCAATCTCACCATTCCTCTTCAACTTTGCCATCGATGACATTCTGGAAACAGCTCTGGTGGATGTAAGTAATGGTGGTGTGGATCTGTTGCCTGGAGAAAGACTTCTCGACCTTGAGTATGCGGATGATATTGTCTTACTGTGCGATAATGCCCAAGCAATGCAATCCGCACTTAATCAGTTGGCAGTCAGTGTCCGTAGGTATGGTATGTGCTTTTCACCTTCGAAGTGCAAAGTACTTCCACAAGACTGGCAGAATTCTAATCCTGTACTCACTTTGGATGGTGAGCAGATAGAAGTAGTCGAGAAGTCGTGTATCTGGGTAGCTGCATAAGTGCTGGTGGTGGCGTGAGTGATGAGATCAATGCACGTATAGTGAAAGCCAGAGCGGCTTATGCCAATCTGGGCCATCTTTGGCGCCTTCGCGATGTTAGTCTGGCTGTAAAAGGTCGGATCTACAACGCGACGGTGGGAGCAGTTTTGCTCTATGCTTGTGAAACCTGGCCTCTCCGAGTTGAGGATGTTAGACGACTCTCTGTGTTCGATCATCGTTGTCTCCGAAGGATTGCTGGCATCCAGTGGCAACACCATGTCAGTAATGCAGAGGTTTGGCATCGAGTGTTCGGTCACAGAGACGATAATGCAATTGGTGTCACCATCTTGGAACACCGACTTCGGTGGCTTGGACATGTTCTACGAATGTCGTCCCAGAGAATCCCACGTCGTGCATTATTTGCCGACTCTGGGACTGGTTGGAAAATGCGGAGAGGCGGTCAGTATATGACATGGTGTCGTGGTATGAAAGAAAACTGCAAATAGCTAGCTTCTGTTGGTCCTTCACGACTCCCTGGCTGGGGTCCGAGAGACGGTGTAACGCAGTGGCTAGAGACGTTATCAGATATGGCTCAGAATAGAAGCCAATGGCGATCCTGCTGTAACCTTCTTTTACTTTCTTCATAAAAAGTGGTTGTATCTTCCTTAACTGAAAGATTTCTTATGATTGTACCTTTCCGTTTTCCCCATCATTGTTCTCTCTCTCTTTTTTTTTTATAATTCCCCACGTTCATTACTTTTTTTTCTTTCTCTTTTCTCCTTCTCTTCAAATTATCATTGTTTTGTGTGGCGCATATATATTTGGTGCCCCCCTGTACCAATATTTATGTGTTCAAATAAAATAAAATAAAATAAATATATAATATACTCGACATGACGGATAACGATAAGAATAGTATTAATATAAAGTTCGAGCAATCAAGGAGTACAACGTGCCGTCCTCAATCAAGAAACTGAAGGCTTGTCTCGGTTTGCTTAAATTCTACCGACATTTCATCCCTCACGCGGCAGAACGGTTACGACCATTAACTAATTTACTACGCGGTAACCCACGCAAATTAGAATTGAACGATACCGCACGTACTGCATTCTCAGAGATCAAAACGGCTCTCGCTGAAGTTACACTTCTCGCTCATCCTGACCCATCAGCCACGCTTAGTATAGCGGTTGATGCATCAGATTTCGCTATAGGAGCCGTCATGCAACAGAATATCTCCGGTAGTTGGCAACCACTTGAATTTTTCTCACGACGCCTTACTCCCACGGAGACGAGATATAGCGCTTTTGGTCGCGAGCTGCTTGCAGCCTACTGCGCCATCAAACATTTCCGGCACGCAGTAGAAGGACGCCAATTCATTTTATTCACCGACCATAAGCCCTTAACGTATGCCCTGCATACCAAATCTGACCGCTACTCATTTGGACTATATCTCCCAGTTCACGACAGACCTTCGTCACATCAAAGGCCAGTCGAACTATGTTGCCGATGCTCTATCACGTATCCAGACGAATGCAGTTACCTTACCGGTGCTCGATCTTCCTGCTATGGCCGCCGCACAAGCAAACGATCCTGTCTGTACAGAAGCACCACAATCTTCGTCCCTTCAGTGTCAGGAAGTACCCCTAGCTACTAGCTCAGGTACTATCCTATGTGATATTTCTACCGGTCTTCCTCGACCCATCGTACCCTCTACCTATCGCCGTCTCGTCTTCGATGCCCTTCATGGATTGTCTCATCCAGGTATCACAGCCACATTACGTCTCATCGCTGCGCGATACGTCTGGCCGTCCATGAATAAAGATGTTCGTATGTGGGTAAAGCAATGCTTACAGTGTCAACGATCAAAAATGCACAGGCACGTAGCTGCCTCCATTGGCACGTTCGCTACGCCTGATGCTCGCTTTGATCACGTTCATATAGACATTGTAGGACCATTGCCACCATCGCATGGGTATGATCACATACTCACGTACATTGACCGTTTTACAAGATGGCCCGAAGCTATTCCCATCACGTCTATTACGGCGGAGACAGTTGCTCACCGCTCCGTAGAACGATGGATAGCATTGTACGGTTGTCCCTCGACTGTCACGACTGACCGAGGACAACAATTTGAGTCTGCATTATTCTCCTCACTGACCCGGCTGCTTGGTACGGAACGCATACGCACTACCGCCTACCATCCAGCATCAAATGGTTTAGTCGAACGGTTTCATCGCCAACTTAAAAGTGCTCTTCGAGCACACGAAAACGACAATTGGTACGAAACCTTACCGCTCGTTCTCTTAGGCATCAGAACGAGTTTGAAGGCAGATATTCAATGTTCCGCCGCTGAACTTGTATACGGCACGACATTGCGTCTGCCTGGGGAATTCTTCACACCACGGAGCAGTAATGATTTCGGTAAATCAGACTACGTCCATCGACTGTCTGCATTTATGCGAACGCTGTCTCCGGTGTCAACTCGAATAAAACATCCCTGGAGAGTTATCTACCTGTTCACATGTTTTCATACGAGTAGATTCGGTACGCAAACCTTTGCATCAGCCTTACGAAGTCCCTTTTCACGTGATCGCTAGTCACGAAAAGACCTTCAAGGTTGATCGACACGGCCGCGTCGAGATCGTCAGCATTGATCGTCTCAAACCAGCACACGTCGATGACAGTGCCCTATCCGATAACTTGAGACTCAATGCTAGACCTATCAAACCTTCTAGCGGGATCTCTACGTCTACCTCGGATCCCACGCTAGATATATCAGAGACCTCATTCTCACGTCCGGGTCAACAGCACGCGTCATCTGCACCATCTACGGGCGAGGCTTCCGTCTCACGTCCAGATCAGCAGACCACGCCGCCCTTAACCTCGGATGAGATCGCAGGCTCACGAAGTACGGACGAGACTACCGTCTCACGTTCCGGTAGCCGAGTACGATTACCCGTACGCTTTCGCGACTAACCGCACAGTCAATAACAGATACGGTGTAGGACTATTCCTATACTACACGCATGCTACACTTTTCTTTTTTTGATTTTTTTGTATCCTGGGCCCACGCCTCCGACCATCGCCCGTTCGGTGACGTCGACTTCAATCAACTTTGGCAAAAGCTGGTTTGGCCACCCACGCTCTAGTCAACGCACTCAGTCGATTATCTGGTCTCGAATTCGCCTGGCATACGCCTGGTCGTTATGGTCGCTTCTGGTTTCTTGGCTCAACGTGGTTTCGTCCTACGTCTGCAGCGTTTTCTGGTTCGCATCCCTACGAACGCAATCATCAGATCCTGGATACAAACCACTCTGGTGCGGTATGCTAATTCGACCAACAAATACAGCACACTTCTCCTGGTACCATTCTGCGCAAAAGACTTTCGTTGGCAACTCGAGGATCAACGATCACTTCCTGTTCCGCCAATTTTCTCCGTCCTACAACCGCACTTCTGCCGATCAGTCCCACGAATCAAACCGCTAACTATCGAAAGTGTAAACCCTTTCTAGCGGGAGGCTCCTGTAGTGACCTACTTTTGTCAACAGAACGCGATTGGTTCAATGAAAACAATTATTATTATAACCAATTGTACCAGCGACTGTTTTACTGTGCTCGTTTGTTTAACTGTGCTAATGACAGCCATTACACTTACTCTCCCGTTGACTTTGAACTTGTACGAATTCGGTTACGCTCAGTAGCCACGCTTGTACTCCTTTGGCACGATCTCAGTATTCTTTCGATACCACGAGATCGCCAACAAATACATCTCGACTACAGCCATCATCTGTCTTCTGATATTGGCCTACGGGGATCTTATTGGTTAATTGGCACGTAGTCTTGTAGCGGTGTTCATAGTCAGGCTCAACTCGACAACACGCTACAACCGTAAACGAAATTTTTACTCTATCTCGTTATATTATGTATCAACATCTGTCAACATATACTCTAAAGCAGGTCTCTGAAATCGCATAGCCATTTTTAGGTGTGTTAGAATGGCCAACTACTTGTACATTAATGTTTTCTGACTCAAAGTATAAATTTCCCTGGTTTTCATAACCGAAGTAGGTGAGGCAAGATTCGAACGTCTTAAGCATTAAGCCACCGCTCTATCAAGACACGGAAAAATGACGTACATGTATTGAAGGTCAGCGTTATTTATAACAAATATAAGATTACTAGGATGATAAAAATGGCTCATTAGTCACATCCTATCTGAATGATTAAGACCTGTCCAAAAATGAAAATATATTTACATAAGAGTTATAGGGTTACTGCAGGTTTAACAAGAAGATTCCTGAGATAAATTAAAAAAACAGGATAGAGGATAATTCTTTCTCCTATGGAAGTGTGTTGCTTCAAATAGTTACCCCTTTACCCTTGAGCAACATCTCAACTTCTGTAATCTATTCAACTTAATGAGGAAGGAGTGAACGAAGAGAGCGAACAAATGAATAGTAATAAGGCGTTCAAAATATATGAAAAACAAAAGGTCCCAGCTTTTGAGTATAAAAGTAATCTAGCATCTACCTCCGTTATACACATATTTATTTCCTAAATTTCTGTCCACAAAATAGCCGCTTTGTTCACATCGATGATAAGATGTGCATAAATAATGTTCTGGTAATCTTCCCTTGAATAGTGATAAATATGAAAACCTCATATTGGGCAATTTCACGGAAATGCCTTTGGTCATTGGCAGACGCCGTCGTTTTTATTTCTAGTACAGAGTGCGTTTTTTCGTCAGCTGATTGATAAAACGAATAATGTTCGTATAAAAGCCATCTGACACGTGTTATCATCAAAACATATCTTGTAATACATATTACAATCGGATCTGCGATTATATGAACCTCAGAATCTTAGATTGATACTTTCAGAATAAAAAAGTTATTCAAGTCTACGAAACAATTCGACTTATTACCAAACTCCAACATTATTAGTAACTATCATAGTATCAGGTGTTCCTATAAGAACTAGTGCTTTATCCAACCATAAAAATATCAATCGAATATATGGTGAAAAAGTGAATAACTAAAACAACTTACTTCTACGGAGTCCATTGCAAATGTCGCTAAATAGTTTGCATCTTGCTTATTCCAAGCTAAGCGTAAAAGTGGGGAATGATTTGAATCTTCATACACGATATTAGAATGCTCCAAATGCCGAAGATCAAACATACGTACAGAACCGTCTGCACCTAAAAAATATGACCAGTCAAAATCCAATCACTTTACCTGAGACAGAATAGCATGAAACTATGGACAATTATGTTTGGACTACGAAATAGATAACAATTTAATTAAGAAACCGAAAATACCGACGATCTAAAGCGAAAACCACATGGAATGTATCTGAGTGGTCTCTTATAATACTATTAGTGAACTTAACAAAACAATATTATATATTACTTTAAACGATTGTAAAAGAAGTTGACAAATACGATGTTGACCCGTTTTAAGCACGTACGGTTCTATGTTGTCACATCCCACATTTGCACAATTCCAAAACAAAGTAGTGCTAACAATTTAATACACTAAATAGAAATATAAATAAATGCGTATTCCTACGCTCTCTAATTTGATGAAGAAGAAAAGCAACCAAAGCCTATATGGTGTGGAATAAGTGAGCTTGATGATCAGGCTGATGAATGGCTTATGATATTTACGCACTAGTCATGTGTTTCTTAAACGTGATGTATAATCAAGTTCATTTCATGTTTGCAAGTGATTATGCCATCATTACACAGAATGGCTCTCATTTTGCTGACGAGTTATTTTTTCCCTGGTACCCGTTCATTCAGAACATTCCACCGGTAGTTCGGTCACATTATGCATAATTGACCATACGTAGATCTACAGGTATTCACTTCAGCCTGTTATAACAGCCACTTCACCTTAGAACTTTTATGACCGTTGCTTGTTTGTTATCCCTAACCTATAGTTATTTAATTTAGTACTTTTATTCATATAGCACTACTAGAATTTTGCCGATTATCACCGTTAACAAAGAATTAGCTAACATCATGTTTATATAAGCTAACAACCGGTAGCCCACAAAATTATCACCTGATCCCTCGTTAACAGTTTGAAATACTTTGTAAACCGGGTGAGTACATCGTATTATTCACTCTCCTAAAATTATGTGGTTATACATGATGTACCATAAATAATAAATCACAATCTGTACATAGATAGGACATTAATGATATAAAACTGACAATTAGTAAAGCTGAATCCTTAAATTCGGAAATATAAAATAACATGACCTAAATACTTAATAAATGAACATTTATATATATATATATATATATATATATATATATATATATATATATATATATATATATTGAGTGCCTTCGCTTTCAAATATTCCTGGACTTCTTATTTCAATTTCAAAATATGTTCCTTAATTATGTTATGTATTCGGTAGATAGTACCATAATAGTCTTCTGATTACTGTATAGAGGTGTAAAGTGAGAAAATTATAAACTGGTTGCATTTTAGTCACTGCAAGTGGTTGAAATAACATAAGGTAGGAATTTAAATCTTCATGTAGTTTTTCATGGGGAAATGACAAGGACTGTGTTAAATTAAATTACAGGAGGAAATATTCAGGTTGAAAATAAAACCGCTTACCAACACTGGCGAAAACATCTCTTCCGCCTCCAGCACGACTGAAAGCTATGTCATATACTTCTTTGTCATGGGCTATTAACTGAGATTCTACGCGTCCACTTACAACATTTGTATGGCCGATCACCTGCTCCGTCTTTTGAAGTAACAGTTAAGATTAATAATTACATAAATAAACTGTTAACAAGCTTCATAAATACAACAAAACATCTATAGAAGATTAGACTTAAAGTTGACCAGTACGCTAGTTTACATTATATAAGTTATGTAAACTAGAGTACTGGAAAACCGTCTTGACGTTCTTACCTCCGACCGAAATAGGCTCTTGAACACTTCATAGACTAAGTCAAGAGATGAAACAACGATTTCAAAAAACAAACCCCTAGTCTGCGGAGATTTTTCCGTACCGAAGGTAAATTATCAGACTATTGATGAGCTTCAGGACAATGAGCAATAGTGGTCTGTCGCTCTAAGTTATATATAGTTTTCATCAGTCAAAATGAAACAAAACTAAACAAAGTACAACCAAGTCGACTGATTTAAGTGCTTGATCTTCGATCTATATCAACGTTTTATAAACTTTGGTGCATGAACTGAAGTTCGAATGAGTGCAGTGTCTGACGCATTAAGCACCATATAATTTTCAAAAACCAAAGTAACTAATTTTTTTAGTAGAAACATTGTTAATTTAGGGAGATCGCTTATCAATATATAAGATCAAGGTAGGTGCAATTTCGCTCTACAAACTAGTAAAACTAATTACGTCTGCAATTTTAAAACTGATAGTCAGTTGTAAGAGGTTTCCTATCTTTACTTAGTGAAATCACTTGGAGTTTAATAAGTCTCTGTCACTCAAGACACTTTCCCCCTTTAATAAGTGTATACGGAAAGTTGGTAAAGCAGTTAAAATGGTATTTTCACGATTCTTACTTCAAGGGCCCAGATAGTGCATGTAGTATCGATGCTAGAAGTTCCGATGATATTTGGGTCTACTTCATTCCAATCAAAGGAAGTAAGTGGGGCGCAATAATCCGAATTTTTATTATTATTCAATAAACATTCATTTTTAACTTCAGAATCTTCGTTTATTCTCCAAACACGAAGGTAATCACCACTTGTGGCAAGTAAATCAGGGAAAATACACTTTGTGTCAGGGATCCACATTATTTTTGACGTCGGGTAGTGATGTGCGAACGTACTTTGTACAACGAACTCTCCTTGTTCATCGTCTAGATATATAATTTGGACTTTGTTATTGTACTCCTCAATGAAACTACCCACAGCTAAACGAAAGCGTTTATCTGGTCTGACAGACCAGTTCATACTGAAAATACACCAAGGAGCATTGTATCTATATATCTCTTTTCGTTTAGTTGTATTAGACTTTGCACTAGTAGATGACTGATGTGAACCAACAGGCATGTTAGGAATAACACCAGGAGTGTCTGACATTCGAATAGACGTTTTTAATCTGCATTAAAAGCAACAAATAGTGAAGATTTTGATCAAAATTGGATATACATGTAGCTTAGTAAGGAATGAAAACGTGAACATTGTCTTAATGCATCAGAATATAAGATGTATATGAAATAAATGGGAAGGAGGAGCGAAACAGAGATCTGCACAAAAAGTACCCTGGTTTAGGCTTTCCTGTCTCCTAAAAAATTAAAACAGAGTCGAAATAATAAAAAACATCAAGATTCATATGACGAAAGATAGCGACTAGACAAGAGGTATGTGTGCATATACCAAATGTTCACACAAAAGATATCATGAACTGATTGCACTTAATTAAAAACGTAAAGGAGTCAAGATTTATTGTCACTTACCCCTAGTATGTATCTGAATCTATACAAAAAGCTTACATTTCTCTAAATTTCTCAAGCTCACAGTATTTTGTCTGTGTGAGACAAATAGTCATAAAGCGTTAGGAAGTATACCGTTTAGAGGACATTGTTGATTAACATACTGCTCAGATTCATCCAGATTGGTCCCAAAACGCAATCCCATAAGCAACCAGATCGTTAACGACATTATTGTGTGAAAATAGCCAAATCAAGAATGTAAGTACCATAGGTTAGGATTGCAGTCTATGAAATAACCTACTACTTGGAGGCAGTGAAGCAACAAATTCTATGGAGTTTCGAAGCTAGTATAAACTCGGATCTAGTTATAACATTTCAGTTAAAAGTCAACAAATTCCATTCGATTTCGAGCTCTGGACCTTGCTCACTATATCAACCATAAAACTTGTCATTATACAACATTAATGTTATTTGAGTGTTTTGAATGGCCTACAGGATCAACATTTAAAAAGGTGGACCCAGTTATTAACATTAGTGTGATAGAGATGAGCATATATATCTTTGACGAAATACTGATTACTATCATTTTAGTTGACGAATTTGTAATAACCCCAACATGAATAGGAAGCCTTCAACCTCAATCAGGAAATGTTAGTTAGATATAACTGTAGATTGTATGGTTTAAGAAATGACGTACATCAGGCTGACTTATAGTGGATTATCTTCCGCATAATTTCTTACGCTTCATATATCAATCGCCTTGATAACTGTTATTAAGTAAATCCCAACGGTGTATGAATCTCAGAAGGAAACATGATTAAACAACTACAGTTTATTATTGAATAGCACAGATTACTAAGCCACAAGTACACCAAGCGAATTCCAGCAGAAACGCTAATGCGAGTGAATAAAGAGGTGGATTATTAGTCGAACAAAGAATCGAATGAACAGTAAAGTCAGTTAATAAGATTAACGCACCAATGCATATCGGGAAAACGAATGACTCGTCGAACGAATTTTAAGCAACTAACATTTAAGCTAGAATGAGGAAGATGTGCGTATTCTGTAACATGTGGTCAAGCATAAATGTCCATGCAGACATGGTACTAATATCAAAATATACATATTGTAACTGTTTGAATAACACTATTTGTTGAATAGGCTAATCGAAGGCGTTTACAAATTTAAAATCTTGAAAACCCATGTGTCAAAAAATTTTTATAAATTCGAATGTAAATATATTTACAGGATATTTACAGGATTATAATCCTGTAAATTAAGCCAGTTTCTTTGACAAACACATTTACTTGGAAATTACTGTCCGTCGTTGAAACCTTTTATTTTAGCCGTCATTAGGTATATCCACTTACAAACAATGTTGATCTCTTCGCTTTAACAGCTTCTGTAGGTCTTTTGTCAAAAGCTAGACAATCTATGTCTATCTTTATGGTTATAGCAATCGTTTCAAGGTCAGATAACGTCCTTCAGCGTAACTGAGGCGCAATATTAAAAACCATTGTACAAAAAATGCAATTAGAAAAAATTTAGGTTTTCGAAAATCTGTGAAGTGCCTGATTTTAAGACTATAAATTCGGGTGATAAACATAAATGATCGTGGACAGGAACGGTTTGACCACCAAGCTTACGTCAGAATATCACAAGGAAGATACTCAAGTTTAATTATGCTGTAGTGCTAACTAAATGACTGATTTGTTATAGAGTGATTATAACAAATACTTGATTTAAACAACAGCATATAGCATTATTATGGAACCGGCGAACAGTCACTTGAGCCTAAACAAATAACACGGCAGTTAGTTCGCCGATTGTCGAACAGGTTGTTCATCATTATCATGGCCAGGGATAATCATAACATATAAAACAGTTACAAGCCACGAACATGAGGACGCGGTAGTTGCAACGCTCTGCATCCTCAACCTATGGTTACTGATATACGTCTGTAATGACATTATTTTCGTTCTATTCGATTATCAAGGTAGTCACAGTGACCAGATACCACAAAATGATAGTCCACGTTATTTATTTAATTATTTATTTAAACTCATAAACACTGTCGAAAAGAAGCACCAGATATATTTTTGCCTCACAAGTCAAAGACAGCTGACATTGTTGTCCAAACAATTTGTCCTAAACTCTTCTTCCCAGTCGTTTCCATGTGCTATTCATCCTTTTTATGCCTGCTTCCAGTTCGAGATTCAGTTTATTCTTTGGTCTTTCTCTTTTCCGCTTCCCTTCAGAATTTCGAGTTGGAGCTTTCCTCGTGTACAGTTTGATGACTTCCGTAATGTATATCTTATCGATTTCCATCGTCTTTTCCTAATTTCCTCTTCAGATGGAAGCTTGTTTGTTCTCTCCCACAGAAGGCTGTTTCTGGTGGTATCCGGTCAACGGACATTGAGTATCTTGGGTAGACAATCGTCTATAAATACTTGCACTCTTTTGATGATGGTTGTAGTAGTTCTCCAAGTTTCAACTCCGTACAGTAGAACTGTCTTGGTGTTCGTATTGAAGATTCTCTTTTTGATATTATTTGACGGTTGTTTTGAGTTCCATATAATCCTCAACTGTAGGACTACTGTCCTTGCTTTGCCGATTCTCGCCTTTACGTCCGCATCTGATCCTTTTTGTTCATCGATGATGCTGACGAGGTACGTGAAAGTTCCCACTTCTTCCAGAGTATTTTCATCAAGTGCTTATAGTTGGTGTTCTCCGTGTTGTTCTCAAGGATCTTGCTTTTCCCCTGTCTATGTAGTGACCAACTGATGTAGAGGCTTCTGTTACATTAGTTGTCTTGAGTTTGTTGGTGTATGTAAGATAGATGGGCCAGATGATCTGCGAAGCCCAAATCGCCTGGTTGCATACAATCAGTCATTTGTATTCCGGGCATCTTATGAGATGTGGAGGTCTTCATAATCCAGTCAACCACAAAAACGAATAGAAATGACGCCAACAACTAGCCTGGTCTGACTCTGATCTTCACTCACTATGCATCTGTGGGCTACAATTCATGTGCAGCTTCAATGAGTAGTCCGTCGATTGAATTGCGCATGATGTTTTTGGTCTTTTTAGGTATGTTGAAGATGTCACAGGTATTCGGAGTTTGACAAAGCTTTAACCAGTAACACCTTCTAATACGAAGCGTACCCACCAAGTGAAATCAAAAGACAGAAGCGAGGAGGTTCGGAGATATGTTTGATAGGTTATCAATATATCGAGGATCGTCTGATCTAATCTGGCTAGCGATTGCAGTAGATGTTGAGCACGGCGTTCCCACACGTGATCTGGGGTGGATGCATGACCGAGCGCCTTCAGCTAGATGAGTTCATTAAAACTAATGTGGTCGGCATCCAATATCGAAAACTTACAGAGCTATTTGTTTTTGGGATTTGTTTACCGCTACAGATCACTTCCCCTCTAGTGGGGTAGTGATGACCCTAAGACGTGACCAGTCAGAAGTTTAAACCCAAAGACTTTTTCGTTGGTAAACACTCTTTTGATAGCTTTCTAGGTTTAGCAGCGTCTGGTCGTCTTTCCTTACTAAAAAGGACCATGAATACAATGTAGTAAAAAAGAAAAAGTACAATGAAGATTTCCGTTTCTCGTAAACTTCACCATTCTTTTTGTCGTCTTTTCCAGCCGTTCTAGAAAAGGAAAAAATATGTAAGTGCATGTCGAAAAACACTCGTACGCATGTAAAAACAAAAAGTGGGCGAAAAAATTAAAAATAAATTCATGTTCACGTAATGGCGTAAAAAAAGGATTTTTATAATATGTACATTTTTTTTAAAATAAAAATAAAAATATATAAGCATATTAAAATTCGCTTTTTCAATTATATATATTACAAGGGAAAATCGAGACGATATAAAATGTCAACTTGTACCTTACGTGCAGTAATCGTTCAAATGTTCTGGAAATCTTACTCTTCTTCCAGAACGCGTTGTTTTAAGTTTATTTTCTGATACCGCCGAAGTATTAACGTGTGCGTTGGCTGTCGATTGAGGTATTATAAGCGCAGGAAGTGTGTCGTGCGATTGTATTGAATGAAAATTGACGTGAATAGGATTTCCTTCTAAATACGCTGCTTTGAGGCGATCGATCCTGATGCTATCGTTGGTTCCGTTCTTATCGATTATATAGTACTCGGGTTCGCGTTGAACAACCTTGAAGGGTCGTTCGTATGCTGATTCGAGAGGTCGTCGATGTGAGTCTCGACGAACGAAAATGTGTGTACTATATCGTAAGTCAGGTTGAACGAAAACATCAGTTGATTGTGGTCGAGCGGAAACAGGTTTGACTGAACGCATTTCGTTTGTAAGCCTGTTCTTCTAGGAGATCAGATCCATGTCCATTGAAGAGGATGAAGGATCCACGAATTCTCCTGGAAGTCGAAGGGTCGTACCATAAACGAGTTGAGACGCAGTGTATCCAATGTCAGCTTTCACTGCATTGCGAATACCTAGTAAGACGAGTGGAAGAACGTCAGTCCACTGAGAAATGTTTGAGGCTGATAGTGACGCTTTTAGTTGTCGGTGAAAACGTTCTACTAACCCGTTTGCTTGTGGGTGGTAGGCGGTCGTTCGGAAGCGAGTAATTCCTTATTTTGTGGTCAGACAACGGAAAAGTTCAGAGTTGAACTGGCTTCCACGATCTTTAGTGACGGTTGAGGGGCAGCTGATGTTTGCTACCCATCGTTCGTGGAAGGCGCGGGCCACTGTTTCAGCGGTAATGTCCTTGATGGGTACTGCTTCTGGCCATCGAGTAAAATGGTCTACGCAGGTTAAAAGATAAGAAAATTCATTTGAAACGGTAAAGGTCCTACCAAATCCAAATGAGCATGGTCAAAGCGAGCATGAGGAGTTTAAAACGAGCCTAGGGGACATTCGTTATGTCTAATCACCTTAGATTTCTGGCAGCTTACACAGGAGCATTCCCACTCCCTCACGTCTTTATTCATACCAGGCCAGCAAAACCGTTCTGCTATAAGCTTGATGGTTGCACGAACACCTGGGTGAGAAAGTTTGTGCAACATATTGAAGATGTTGCGTCGATACTGTTTCGGCGCAATTGGGCTATCCCTACCTGTAGATATGTCACACAGTAAGTTTTCCTTACCTGTTCCCATCTGTTTGATGCTCAGTTTAAGGGTTGTTGAGGATAACTCGTGCTGAAGATCAGTGTCTTCTTTTTGAAGCTGGGCGATTTGGAAACTGTTCAAGGAAGTTATTCGAGACGAGGCGCCTGCAACTACATTGTTTGCTCCAGAAATGTATCGAATGTCTGAAGTAAACTACGAAATGTATTCCAGTTGTTTAGACTCACGTGGTAAGTACTTGTCTGAAGAAGAGCTTAAGGAGAAAATAAGAGGTTTATGGTCAGTGAAAATGGTAAATTCTCGGCCTTCGATAGAGTGTTGAAAATGCTGTACAGCACAATACATAGCTAGGAGTTCTCTACCGAATGTGCTATACCTCGATTCAGTGACTAGCAACCGTCCAGAGAAAAATGCCAAAGGTTGCCAGGAGTGGTTAACGGATTGTTGTAAGACTCCTCCGATTGCTGAGTCGGATGCGTCTACTGCGATACTAGTGGGTGCTTCAGTGTTCTGATGAGCAAGCATTGTTGCATGAACGATAAGCTCCCTAACCGTGGAGAATGCTTTTCGCGCGGTGTCATCCAGATTGATGGATTTCGCATTTCCACGAAGTTGGTCGGTGAGAGGTTTCATAAGGGACGCGCATTTCGGTATGAACCGCCTATAGAAACTTACCAGACCGTTAAACGTGAGCAACTGCTTGATGGTGGTCGGTTCTGGGTAATCCAGAATGGCCGCCACTTTTGTTCTAGGGGGTGGAATGCCTTGAGCATCAATAGTGTGTCCTAGAAAGTCTAATGAGTCAGTTCCGATTCGGCACTTCTAAATAATTACAGTAATGCCATGTTTATGAAGTCAGTCGAAAACAAGGTCCAGATGCTGGAGATGCGATTCACTGTCCGGACTTGCTATTAGGCAGTCACCAACGTACGCATGTACGAAGTTGAGACCTCAAAAAAAGTCGTCTATGAACCTTCGGAAGGTTTGTGCTGCGTTTTGTAGGCCGAAAGGCATTCGCGAAAATTCGTAGAGTTCGAAAGGATTTATGGTAGCTGTTTTTGGAATATCGTCAGTAGCCATAGGGACTTAGTTATACGCTTTTACCAAGTCGATTTTCGAAAAGGCAGTTGTACCTTTCAAGGTATCTGTCAAGTCATGAATGTGAGGCAACGGGTAACGATCGGGAATAGTGTTTGCACTCAATCGCCGATAGTCACCAGTTGGACGTCAATCGTTGGTGTCTTTTTTAGGGATCATGTGCGACGG